AATACCTTACATTTTTCAGTCCTGTTCGACCTTTATTTCTTACTTTTCATGAGGGGCAGTGTTTTCTCCTCAAAGTTAACCAATTCATACACCTTTCTTTTTTTCATATGCGTTTTGTCTCTGCTTTTGAGCGTTAATGTATGCGACTGGTTATTGAACAACCTTGAACTGAATAATGTTGAGAATCTGTCTACTTCTTATGAAATGTATTTGAAAATTTGCCTTTGCGTGCTATGATGGGACCCTCAAGAGTCTTAAATAAATGTTTTTATTTATTCAAATCTTTGCTCCGTAATATGGTATATCTCATAACAAAATCGCCAGAGAGGCTGAATCTAGCCTCGCCGGCGATATCGTCAAATGATCGTAGACGGCTTTATTTTCCCGAGGGCATTTATAGGCAAAGCGATGATAGCGGCATCATGAAGGTCGTAGGTCGTGCTTTACCCGGACTCCCACGCAAACGCCGCATTCTTAACTGCATCGAACCTACGACATACTTACGGAGTTCCGGGGACAAATCAGTGGCGTTCTGACCGCCCTCTTTGTCGCGAGCCTGAACCTTGGTTCGCGCAACTTCAAAACGTACTTTGGTTGGCTTCTTTATTTTCAGTGCATGAGCAACATACCTCGAAATGTGTTGGGTCGTTTGAATAAAGTTTACACTCTCCGCGCTGATCTGGAGTGGAGTTGATGTAGCTGAGTGTCGGTGAAATGAGCTGGTGGCCTTTCCTCTCTACCACCAACTCTCTTCTCACATTTCATCGCAACCCTCACTCGCTCTTCGTCGGCATCTCCCCTGCGGCTGCACACAGCACTGCGTTCCACCGGTTACTTAGCAGGCATGTCACCATCGACCCTCAATCAAGGCGGATCACCCCTCCATCATAGCTTCTTCTCTTTAGAAATCAAAGTAGGATCATGTACACTCAATTCCTTTCTTGTGTATTGCGCATTAAAGGTTGCCCAATTATTCCCCTGTCCTTTCGCCTGAATGAGCGTAATGATGCGCTTGACAACTCTCCTCAGCCCAGCCTTAGCTAGGATCAATTTTCAGTGCTCTGTTAACTTGGTGTGTGCCAGAGTTGGCGTCGTCGACCGCCACATATGTCATGGTTCTTCGTGGCCTTCACAAAAACGCCTTCCTTGATTTAGTCGAGTAGACGATACCCATCATTTTAGACAGGTTTTTGTTCTTAAGCTCATTGGACAATGAATAGTAGGTCAACAAGGTCAACATCAAACTGTAAAGCGCCGGGATTTTTCTTTTACGAGCATTGTTTAAATCTATAATTTGCCTCAAGTGATTTGGTTTTGTCGGCTTTATATAGGGGGCTTGGTGCCGGGTGTTGGCCACCTACAGATTTGAATTTCATCCCCTAATGGTATTTTAGTCGTCCAGGGCTACCCCAAGTCGCGGGCTAGTTTTGCGATTGACTGCATTATTTCAGCAATCCTGGCAGACACTGTCCACACGCGTTTAATAAGCTGACGTGCCTTTATCAGGCGAGTTGGAGCCGTTGTCGTCTGAGGCGATTTGAGTCGCCAGACAGGCGTTTTAAGTTCCGGACAAAATGCGTGCCTTAACCCCTGCATGCGTGCGTACGCGGAAAGGGACCCTGCAGGCGTGACGTCCAAAATGCACTCGGGTGGGCATGGAGGAGGCGATGTAGCATAAAAGCTCCTTTCCTCGCACAGGTCCAGTAGAGTCAACCAATTAGATTACTAGTCCCGCACTTGACCACAAATCAAATGGTCTAGCAAATGCCTAGCCCTGGGCGTCAAAATGCTATCAGGGAGCCGCCACTATATGTGGGTTACGATGTACCGCAATCCGCGGCAATCAAAAAAACAAATTCAGTCTGGGTTAGACGGAGAAAGCTGTCAAGCCAAAATTGTACAGGCGGTGAAACATGGCGGTTTGACGGCAAGGAAAATCATAGGCCATCCAACACGGTCTATTTCCATAGATACTCTGATAGCATTTAGACGCTCAGGGCTAGTAAGCTAATTGGTTGACTCTGCTGGACCTGTGCGAGGAAAGCAGCTTTTAGGCTACATCCCCTCCCCCATGCTCACCCGTGTGCATTTTGGACGTCACGCCTGCAGGGTCCCTTTCCGCGTACGCACGCATGCAGTGGTTCGGGCACGCATTTTGTCCGGAACTTTAGACGCCTGTCTAGCGACTCAAATCGCCTCAGACGACAACGCCTCCAACTCGCCTGATAAAGGCACGTCAGCTTATTAAACGCGTGTGGACAGTGTCTGCCAAGATTGCTGAAAAAATGCAGTCAATCGCAACACTAGCCCGCGACTTGGGGTAGCCCTGGACGACTAAAATGCTGTCAGGGTTGTCAGTTGTCCTGATTTGTGGCTATATTTGACTTTGCCCTCTTGTTCATGTTTAAAGCCCCTTATAATATGCTTAGGATTTCGCTGACCTGAGCTCCAAGACAGATTTATGGGTGTGGAAAACCGCAGCTAAGGATGTGTGGGATATCTTAGAAACAGCTTTCAAGTGGGAGCTTTGCCGATTTTCCTTAGCTGTGGCAGAGAGTCCCCATTATGACCCAACACCTTTTTGCTATCGAGTGCAGCAGCCAAGACGGGATGCTTTCCGACAAAGTTGTAACCGTCGCGTTACTTCCTCTCCACCAGGTACAAGAATCTTTGCAGTCGTTAGTTGGCATCGTTTTGCTGCGTTCAAGAACTTTCTGGGACACGCCATTAATTCCAAAGCGCATTCCCGCAGCAGCTGCTGAGATCTATGCTACTGTTTCAGAAACAGTCGCACAGCACAAATTTAGTCAACTTACTTCGTTCAGAGAACAAAGATTGCTAGTTTTTTACGGCTGTATTCACAAAGTCAAGAAGTAGATAAAGGTGGTTTCTACAAGAATCTTCTGTTCAGTATCGGTTGAATTAATCCATTTTGTGGTGGTGGCCTTCGATGTATATTTTGATCAGAGAATGGAGTTGAGCCTCGTTGTCTGGGCACTGTGAGACGGACGTAGTGTGCTACGCCTAATGAAAAACTCCGAGACCAAATAATTTCGAGGCGGTATGCGTTGTTTTAGATCTAAACAACCACACCCGATCTGACGGGGAGTGCGCCCTGGTTACGCAAGTTTTGGTAGCCGATTGCGATAACCGAGGCCACTACAGGGACAGTTATAGAAAAATCGCTCAAAATACCTGGAGAAAACAGGTTTAGCAATTCAGCTAAACACCAGTTTCATTGCGCCAACTACTGGGCGCTAAACCAGGACTCAGAGGGAAGGGCGAATTTGGATACTCTGCCCTAAAGTCAGTCTAAGTCAGTGATCGCCCTCTCCTGAAACCGAATATCTCTGCTAGAGCGGACTGAAATTGGCGAAAGAACCGCATTTCGAGCTTCTTTCTTCCAACCTGGTTGACTAGTGTTGGCAACTGGGCCATGAATGTCCATCCCAGTCGTTCTTGCCACTTTTGTAAGTACTCCTTGAGTCGCCGTAATTTCCCATAGACGTTCATGCTTTCGCTTTTGTGTATCTGTTTACCATCATACGCCCAGCTACTAAACTTTGAGTGTAGTAGAATGTAATCATCTTGAATGGCCGCAAGGCCATTGTTGGAGTACTAGGTCAGCACACGATTGCGTGAAATTATCTCTTGTTGATGAGCGGTCGGTTCTGGTGTGCGAACCAAGCCCAGGACGTCAAGCTACAGGACTGTTCGAAGAATCGTCCGCGCGAAAGCATTTTCCCTTTTTGACTCAGTGATCTAGGCTATAAATGAATACCAAAGAGTACATAGGATCCAGATATCCAGAGTGAGTGAAGTCGCGAAGGGATGAATGAATTCACAAAATCCATCGGCTTATCTATAAGCACTGGGAAGATCGACGCATTCTCGAACTGAGTCCCTGACCAGAAGCCGCCCCGCGCGATTAGTGGCCGCCCATAAGCGAGGCTACCGCTTTGCCGAATGGACAGCGCGAGGACGACATTGTCTGCTGGATCGATGCAGACGCGACGCGACACCTTCATCGTCACGAACATTCGCGTGTACAGTGCATCCGTCTAGTCAGTCCTGTGCGGTTGTGAATGCTGGGATATGCGCGTGAAAGATGAGCGAAAACAGGAGCTGTTTGTTAAACGCTACCGGAAAACCATCCTTCGAGCGGAGTACACCGATTTCGTCTCGAGTGAGATAGTTCTCACTAGCGGCAATGGCATCGTGGGGATATCTCAAGCCATCTAAGAAAGACGACTGAGGTGGTTTTGACACGTTATTTGTCGTCGTCCTCGTGAGCCCATTGTTGCTGCACTCAATCCGGCGCCTTCGCCCACCTGGATACGTCAAAGAGATGGTCAACTCAAAACCCCGCTTGACACAGTTCGTCGAGACATGTAAATGGTTCATGGACTGTCAGTATTCGGCCTCCGTCGCTGAAGGGGTGCATGAGTCGAGGTGTTAAGATCTGCTGCCGCCGATTTACGACCTGATCGATGCCGACTTGATCAGGCATGACCACAGCTGCGCCAAGATACCCTATATGCGCGAATTTGAGAGGCATTACTGGTAGACTAGTAGTGATATTCTGCGTGCAAATACTCCCCTAATGTTGGAGTCGAAAACCCTATAGTGACTGTTACAGTGCTTTCTAACCAAACCACTCCTGTCTTAATCTTTTGACTTCTTGTTCGAGATCCGTCTTGTCTACCTGACCTCGGAGGAGTTGATGTTTCGATAAATTGAAGGTCTCTACAACTTGTATCTCGTTTTTTTCAAATTAAATCCCTTCTGCGATTTGTTTTTGGATCCTAAGCTTGTCTGACTATGTCTTGCAAATTATGTCCCCGTCCGCTACAAATCCCCACACTTACATTTTCTGGGAGTAACACGGGAACTCTGGGTTTTTCGGCCCGAAACCACATCTGACCTTTTATCTGTGATGGGACTGTAGTGGTGGAGAAATTTTAAATCCTTACGTCGATCCTATTAATTTTTTAGCCAGAATGTCGGAGCTGGATGATCTCGCCGTCTCAAACTTCCGCACCTATTTACGCTTCAAGACTGTCCAACCCGATCCCGACTACTCAGAGGCTGTTGAATGGCTTCGACAACAGGGTAGCGCTATGGGCCTCGTCTGCAAGTTGAGTGAGCCATGTCCAGGGAATCCGATACTGGTGATGTGCTGGGAGGGTAGTCGACCAGAGTTACCATCTATTCTCCTGAATTCACACATGGATGTCGTCCCAGTAGAGACCGGCTGGACACATGATCCTTTCGCAGCCGACATGGACGAGGAAGGGCGTATATACGCACGAGGTGCTCAGGTTAGCATAGTCTTGCATATCTCTTTTCTGATGTTTGGCTGCACTTTATCCTCTGCCAAGCCAGAAAATTCTGCCAAGTTCTTGTCTCCTTCGATCTTCGACCATATCCTTATTCCTTGCTGACATCAACCAATGTGCCACATAGATTTCTCATCTCATATCATGGTGGCCGTGGTGGTGGTGGTGGTGGTGGCTGCGGCGGCGGCGGCGGCGGCGGCAACGGTGGTAGTAGTCCAACACCCCTTTGTATATGCCCGATCGCAACCGACAGGACAACGAGCCCCTAGCTCAGTGGTTAGGGACGTTGGACTTCAAACCGACAGGTCGCGAGATCGAGCCCCAGGTGTTCCACGCTTCGGGGGTTGGGCATGACTGGCTGACAATGGCTAATAAGCCAGAAATGGCCACTGCAGTCTCCCTTGTCTTCGTCGCTAATAGCATTCTACCTATATCATGCGCTGCTGTGCGGCTGCTGGTTGGGTTCGAGAGAGAGTCTCAAGGCACAACGAGACGAGCGAGTTCCGCAAGAATGATCGGTGAGCGCCCCCTACCATTATAAACAAATATGCATGCCAAACTTTCCTGTCTCAACTGGTCGTCGAACCTGATGCTATCATTCTGCCGGTGTCCAGTTATGGTAACTGACGGAGTATGTCCTCGGCTGCATGTTATTGCTAATTCAGTCGACCTGTCTAAGAAAGCTGCGAAAACGTGAGTACTCTCCAACTGCATCCCCGACCATGAGAAAGCAGGTCTCGTGTGTAGGCACTGTCAGCCTGAAGAAGTAGACTGTTCCAAATATCTTTGGGCAAAGGATCTGCCAAATTGACAGAGTAAGTACAATATTGTCGATCGAATCGGCACTGTTCCCAATGTAAGCCATCTGACGCCTACTATATCGCGCAGTCACTAGTTTGTTTGCGAATGTTATTAGGACTCCGTTTTTGATAGGGTTCTTGCGTGTGCTTATGCATATGTCAATATTACGAGTAGCAAAACACACCACCTCAGTTTGAAACGGGGAACAAGGAAGTCAGCACAAAATGTGATATTAAAACTTTAGTTGAAAATGAAGTAGAAAAATACGATCTCGCCGGCCCATGCATGTTTTCCTAAAGGCATTAGGGCTGTGTATTGACAAGCAAACACGTTTGATTAACCGTCTTTCCAGCGCGGTCATGTTCCGTGATCATCGGTTAAGCCCCCCAAGGCAGTTGTTCCGTCGTTGTTCCTTCCTCGAGCGTCGAAAACCATCAGACCGAGTATCCTTTCCGTGCCTGACTTCAGAACATAATCTCCACGATTTTAGCTGGTTATCACGAATGCTCGCCCATTTGGACAGACGTCGTGGAGGAGCTCTCCTGCTGGTCGGCGGCCTCTGACACTATCGTGAAGTATTCCCGATCGACGTTTAAATTTATCGCTTCGAGACGTGCTTCATTAGCCATGACCCTTATGTTTTCTGGTGACAGCCGCTGTCGTACACCTTTATCTCCTTCAGTTCACCGTAACAGCTGTGGCCGAGAAGCATCATACCCTAGCCCATATGCCTAAGTCTTTGTTCTCTATTGGATCGCCTTATGGTGAGAACATATGCGGTTTTTTGAATGCGGCGGCCTAGCTTTGTCGGTAGTTCAGAGGAGCCGTCGCAGTGACTTATGAGAACTGGGTTTATCAGTTTTCCAAAGCTAACTGTCCCTAAGATTATCGCACGTACCTACCCCTAAAACACTTCCTCTTACTCTTGACGTCAATATTCAGCCATCTAGAGCGAAGCGGTTGATAATACTATCCTCTGGTTGTTGAATTTTGGCATGGAATTCAGTGTTTATTTGGTTTTCGTGTAATTCTAGTACTGAAGGTCTCCCTGGTGTTTCTTCTCTTATCAACTGCACTGCAGGACATGAAGAGCGTTGGAATACAACAACTGGAAGCAGTACGGCGCCTAAAATTGGGCGGTTTTACGCCTGTTCGGACAATCTACCTCAGTTTTGTGCCGGATGAGGAACGCGGGGGTACATTGGGTATGCGACCGTTCGTCGAAGGTCGCGTGCCCATCCATCCCGGTGCACGCGATGAAATCCGCTTTGCCGACATGAACGTGGGCTTTTGTTTGGACGAGGGTATCCCCAGTCCCACAGAGGACTATATCGCCTTCTACGAGGAGCGTTCGCCCTGGTGGCTTCGCATTGTCTGTCATGGCACTGCCGGCCATGGATCCATCTTTTTGGAAGACACTGCCTTTGAAAAACTCCACTTTATGCTCACAAAGTCAGTTTACTTTTGTATATGTTCATGTGATATTACCTTGTTTTCCGGGACACTTGTGGTGTCCGAGCAGATGCTATACCTTACACAGCTGACAGGTCGTTCCATGGGCCCTGGTTACACATGGTGATCGTTTCGGCCGGTCCCCTCTGGGCACCCAGCTCTCCTAGGCGGCTCCACAATACTGTTCCGCACTGCTGCCCCATCCCGGTAGGTAAATCGGCTGACGGTAGTTGGTGGCGTTTACTGTACACGGCGAGGGGCAGTAAAGATGTAGCAGTCGTGCCGTAAAATTTGACTTAGTCGGCCAAAGCTCTCCCGAAACCCACCGTAACCCGACTCTCAAATTCCCTCGGATATACCATTAACAACCGCATAGGCTACCCCGGCTAATTCGGGTCGCCTTCCCATTGAAAGGGATTGGGGAGCTGCAGCGGAACCCGTCAGCCGCCTGTAATGTCAAACGGTTCCCTTCAGAGAAGTACCACCTACTGTAGCACGGCATTGGCGATTGGCAAATGTTGGGACTCGCGTCGTCTGCAAGCCGAACGCGACTCGTGGATGCCAAACACACGGTCCACATTACACGCCCCCCTACCCTTTCCACCACAGCAAACACATTCATTCTGGTATCCTGAAATGTCCATTCTCTACTAGATACTCCGATGGTCAACCGGCCGGAGAAGATAACTGTTCCGAGTAGGCGAGAACTAGCTCGTATCAACTTGAACATCGCCACGCTACACATGATCCTTTTTTCGGAACAGATGATGAACTGGTTGTTTCATAAAACCGTTATTGCTTGTAACCTTACTAGGAGCTCCTCTGCTGCGTGTGAGGTTCGGGTGTTCTATTCCCTTGTGTATGCAATCCTGGTATGCGTTTGGGGGGCCAGATCATGCATGTGGCGCGCGCAAACGGGCTCTCTAGCCCTGTCAGCCATTGCGCCCACTTGCGGTATCAGACGTCTGACTGGCTCGGACAGTGGACTGGTGCATGGGGATGGGAAAAGGAAGTGAGGTCGACGTCTCAGCGCACGGTCCTCACTATTAACAATCTGACACGCTCTAGACTATCTCGGTGTGCTAAAAGTCGTGGCTTGGAAGGTTGCCAACTGACGGGATAACTTTGATCTTTCAGTCAACCCAATGTGTGTCTGTGTAGAGTGGCGGACTGGTGGACTGAAAGTCAGGCTGCAATGGCTCCTTAATGTGGCCTCTATGGCACTCCCACTCCGGGGTATCCGAACCGGGTGGTGCGGCCCCGGCCGTGCCAGCCACCTGCGCTCTCTCCCACCTCCTTTGGTTATGACATCGAGCCTAGATGGGGGAGGAGGAGAGAGTGCGGTAGATGCTTCGCAAGCGTACTATCACTTTAAACTAATTTACGCACAAGTCACCGTGCCTGCTCTCACCCTACTGTGGAGCGCACGGTGGACATAGTCGAAATGGACGTTGAACTGTCAAGTTTAAGGCAAAATTCCCTACCACTGTGCCACAGCTCCATTGTTTTGAAGAAGGAGACACGATCTTTGGGACATGAGCTTTTTTGACCTGATGTTTCAGATTCCTGCTCGAACCCATAATCAGAGACAAAAGCACCAATACCACAGACCGAAGTTCTGGGCCCAGTATGTGGATGATACCTTCATCGTTATGGACCGTGATCAACTGCTGACATTCAACGAACATCTGAATGCGGTCTTCCCGGACATGCAATTTACGATGGAGGAGGAAGAGAACAACCAGCTGGCCTTCCTGGATGTCCTTATATGCCGCAAAGATTTTGGTGGAATAAAAAGCAAAGTGTTCAGGAAAGTGACAGATACGATGCAAGTACTGAACTTCAATAACAACCTTCAAATCAACCACAAACACAGTTGTGTAAGGACACTCTATCGGCCTGTTGAAACGCACTTCAGTGAGCCGGAAGACAAGATTGCCGAGCAACAATACCTCCGAAGAGTCTTCAAAGCTAATGGCTACCCGCGCAACTTCGTCAACCGGTGCATACGAAAAGGGACGAAAGGCCTAACCGCACGGACATCAAATTTTGGCGGGCGCTTCCGTACGTCATGAACGTTTCGGAAGTTGTCGGCTGCCTTCTCGCACCACTTGGAGTTGCACATAAACCGGAGGCAACCATCAGGCGTCAGTTAATGAAACCAAAAGACCCACTGCCACGGCAAGAAACGTCTGGAGTCGTTTATCGGATCTGGTGCAGTTGCGGACAAAACAACTACGTCGGAGAAACTGGAAGACAGCTCCGAACACGCTGCAGCGGTACGGAGAAATGACGCTAGCTCTCAAGTTGCGGCTCATTCGACGAGATCCGGCCACGCATTGAAATTTTACGAGGCTGGAATTCTTGCAAGAGGTGATAACCGCGTGTGTCGGGAACTGTTTGAGTCATGGTTTACTGGTCCCCAGCTCATTACCAAGTGCAATGACCTTCCCCTTCCATCCACGGTGCTGAGACTTCGCCTAGGCGGAGTAATTAGCCAACCGGGGAACGCACATGTGAACACTTTTCCTAACGCCAGGGTCGGTGGATCAGATGGTCGAGCAATTATCACGCCAACGTACAACGCACGTGATGAAATTGCAGCAATTAACGACGTGAATGTCGGCCATCAGATTGTCAGCACACCAAGTGCAACGATCCTTGATGAAAGGGGGAGTCGTGAATATTCATAGGTATGTGGTAGGGTGACGACTGCATTCTATAAATGCTGCAGCCCCTTGTGCATGAACTACCCGTATTTTCTTTTGTCTCTGATGATGGGTTCGAGCAGAAATCCGAAACGTCAGGCTAATAAAGTTCTTGTTCCAGCGGTCGTGTCTCCTTCAAGACTGCTTCCTAGGACTTGTCTCTTCGCCTCTATTGGCTCCATTGTTTGTTGACTGCAATCTGTGCTGATCACTGCTTATGAACTATTAACTTGGTCATTCTCCGAGAGTCTTCGTCTAGGTCCCCGGGTTAACACCGATGATCGTCCTTGACAATCAACCACCATATTCGGTAACAGTGCCATCAAACGGAATTACTCGGGAACCACTTCCCTTAAACTCATGAGAAACATGAGCGTTATTGGACTTCCCAGTCCACGAGTTCCGGCCTAACTGCACCCCTCCCTGTCTCTTAGTATCGGTGAGTCATTTGAAATCTGTCCAAGATTTTGAAGTACGAGGTTAGTGGACGGGTAAAGGCTACCTGACAGACAATTTTCAACACTTTCTGTAGGGTATCCCGTTGACATTAGTGTCACATGGTGACAGCTCTTCTCGGCAGCAATTATGTTTTCGGTGAAAACCAAAGAACTGGGGGAACACGCTGTCCGAAAAATTTGTGCAAATGGGCAGACTCCAACCGCCCGACGGCAACCCATCGGGCTGTCTTATTTCCCCTGTAGCTTGCATTAGAATCGAGTTCAAAAAGAAGTCTTGTCAGCATTTCTTCTCGTTTTGCAGGGTCCTTGAACTAAGAACGGCCGAAAAAAAGCGCCTAGAGGAGTGCTTTGGTCCCACCGGCCTTGGCAATGTCATCACCGCGAATGTGACTGTGCTCCGAGGTGGTGTGCAGACCAACGTTGTGCCCGCCAGTGTCTATGCAGAAGTGGACTTTCGTCTGCCGCCTACAATTGACTTCAAGGAATTCGAGACGCGTCTACACGCCTGGGCCGCTGAAGCTGGCAGCGGTGTGGAAGTAGGTGTTACCTAGGCCCCTTTTCTCTCACCTCTTTGATGTGTATTTTAACCCGTAAGGCACTCAACAAGCAAACAAATGACTAACAGATGAACGGTCTCCCAGGGTAGCTCGGGGATTTTAGTTCACGGCTTATGATGCCTTAACCAGTCCAGTCTCCATTCCGGGGAGCGTTTTCCAAACTAAAGGCAAAGAGAATTAGAGGCTGGAGGGCAAACGCTTTTTCCCATGTGCTAGTCTTGCATGTTTAAATCGAAGTCCACCCCACGTGTCTATAGACCGCGTCGGTTATGCCGATAGCAACCGATGGTGCTTGGGCGTACTCTGATCATAGAGATGGCAAAAAAGATACTAATCGCAGCAAAAAGAATTAGGGTAGTTAGCGCGGTGGTGGCGGCGGCGGTGGTGGTGGTAGCAGAGGATTGCGGAAGGGTAACGGTGACGATGACAGTGCTAATGGAGGATAAGCCTGGTGATAATGTATGAATCGGTAATTTATATGGTAACGAGTTTTGGGTCTCAGAGAGTTGAACGCGTCACTGGGTCATGGTCCGTGCAGATCTATGAAAATCATACTTGCCTCCTGAACCCATATCGCTAAGTAGGCTTATTACGCACCTACCTGTCCAAGCCTTATCGCCGTGCTTGCTAAATCGCGGTTTTCGTCTTCAATCACAAATACCATGCGCTTCTTTTCTTAAGTTCGCTTGCGCAGTTTGCTTCGTAGCCTCCAATACCACGATGTTAGTTCAGATATGCAATTATTCGTCTTTAGTCATTTCTCCTAGACTCAAAACAAGACCGGGACTCGATTAGCAACCGCGTTGCTTATAAGAGTCTACGCACATTAATAAGCGTGTTAACTATCAGCCGCACTCACATTTGCTAGTGAGTTCGAACTTTTCGATTTTGCCGATCTTGGCTATGGGGAAATCGGCTTGTGTGTGACCTATTTTCTTACCTGCCGTTCAGCTCCAATTCCTCCAGCAAGACATGGGGACTTCCGGCCATGGAGGCCTGAAGGCCGGAGTCGATGACAGCAACCCCTGGTGGTCCGTCCTCAAACGGGTTCTCACCACCCACGGTGCGGGACTTAAGATTGAGATATTTCCTGGCGCGACGGATGCCCGTTTCCTAAGACGTTATCATCGCCTTGCCGCCGGGGTAGACGGTGATGCGGACAGCCCCCACCGGACACCTATTCAGGCCATCAACTTTTCACCCATGCGGAATACACCCGTCCTTCTGCACAGCCATGACGAATTTTTAAGCAAGGATGAATTTTTGCGTGGTCTCGCTCTCTACACAGACCTTGTTCGTGAACTTTCCTCGCTTCCTTGATCTTCACCCGGTGCCGTTACTCCACGCGATTACCACAATCAGTCAACGATCGATCTCGTGCACTTTTGTGTTCCTCGATTTTTATGTGCCCTTGTTCCAACTTTTCGTTTATTGGCTTTTTATTCGATTTTTTGCGTCTACGCATGGAAGTTCATCTTAAAATACAAATTACGGCCTTTGGCACCCACGACTTTGAGCAACACGACACGAGCACACTCAGGGGCACAGTAGGCCACATAAGTCGGAGCGACATGCTCGGTCCTCCCGACACAGAAGTTGTAGGGGACTTGTTTTGCCGCCCAGGTGTTTCCCGACTCAGCAAGTCTGTGAATTTTGTCAGAGATATATGCTCAGTCTGCTAACTGTCACATTTCCTCATGTACAGTAGGTGGGCTAACTCATGAAATGCCAGCCGAAATTCCGAAATGCTCTTTGTTTCGAAAAGATTAATTAAGTAGGGTTGTAAAACTAGTCAGCCTGCAACATAGTTCTATAATATTTTAGTTACCTCTGGATGCCGGCTTTTAAACAAACTTCTTTCCGTCTGCATGCAGGAAATACATTGTAAAGAGTGACTACTTAAGTGGCATGCATTTTTCTCGTTGATTTTCGATGCCCTTAGAGAGTCAATTATATTTCATAGAAAACATGCATAAAAATATTCATTATTTTTCTCATTCGGCAGAAACTTACGTCTCCTTTTAATTTTATACTCGAAGAAAGTGTTTAATTCGGTTTTAAAAAAAAACTTCCAATTCCCGAATAATTTTGAACTCGACCTGCCGTTACACTTGCATTCAGGGTTCCCAGACGACAAGCCGTATATTTTCCGCGTACGGAAAACCGTAAACTTCTCTACGGCATTCAGAGGAGATCATATGGAGTTTATAGAATTTAGCAGTGGATATGAGCCATATTGTTAACTTTGAAAGCAACACTAGTAAATGCAGAGACGTGACTTTTGGTGAACGGCCATTTCGCAGTATTAAAAAACTTTAGAATTGGAAATTTTTTAAAACCAAACTGTACCCTTCCTTCTAGTAAAAAAATTGAAAAGGACGTAATTTCCTACCGAATAAGTAGGAGAGGGAATATTTTATGCATGTTTTCCATGAAATATAATTGATTTCTTAAGGACATCCAAAATCACTGAGAAAAATGCATGCTACTTAAGTAGTCATTTTTTTACAGAGCATTGTTTCTGCATGCAGCCGAAAATAAGTTCGTTCGAAAGCCGGCATCCTGAGGTAGCTGGATTGTGATAGGATTATGCTGCATAGTGATTGGTTTTAAAACCCTACTTAATTAATCTTTTCGAAACGTAAACGTATTTCGGGATTTCGATTGACATTTCATGAGTTAGCTCACCCATTGTACGTCACGTCTAAGTCTTGTAGGTGTGTCACTCAGCAGGCAAACCTTGTGGCGGAGGAACAGACTGCTGTTTTGCTCTCTTCCGCAGGTAGTCACTCGGTGGTAAGTAATCTTTGACTAGAGGAGATTTGCGGACATGGACAGAGGCAATTGAAATGGTCACTCCTAGCCCATACAGGTGCGTTTGCCTGTCGACCTGCCTGCTGGTAACCGGCGCGTGCATGGGTGACTGATAGTGGTGGTACTGATGTGCAGTCGTTCCGAATACTTCAACATCCCAGCTACTTGACCTTTCAACGCTGGTCCAGTGCTTAATAAGTAGTCGCAGGACTAAACTCGATCGGGGACAGGTTTCGGGTTTTATACGTGGTAGTTTGTATCACGTGCAGCCCTTTCCTGACTCGAGTCACTCAAGGAAAGCTGTACTCAGTCTCCACCAAAGGAATGCCGGGGCCCGGTGCCTGCCTGAAGACGTAGATTCGGCCTCCCATTAAATCGAGGTTCGAAAGGTAATTTGAGGTTCCCTCTACGATAGTATCTCATGCGATGCCTCTGGTGGAAATGTCACGGAGGTTGCATCGGCTAAAGCAACGAGTATAGTTCAGTCACCACACCAATCCGACGAATTTCTGCTTTGCGGAGTAAAAATGATAACACCAGTATGAGGCTTTATTCTGTACATAACTTCAAGTTGCTGTCTCTGGAAGCAGTGGCTTCTGGCTAGGCCAGCGTGTGCGTGCTGATGGTGGTAAGTCGGGCCTGAAAGAGTGCGTGCTGGCTGTTTATATGCGCGCGTTGGTGCTAAATGTAGTGTTAATTGCATTATTCGAGGAGTAGTGTTTCCAGGTGGAACAAGGACGGCTGTGATGGTTGAGTGTCAGCAATTCAGTGCGTATGGGATAGGGCCAAGTGTCTTTGAAGCAGGAGCATTCGCGATGAGATCGAGCGGCATTAAGTTGTTCAAGCCCCATAACTATCACGTTAAAATGATGCGTTGCGTGTTCTGCCGACACAAGAGCACATGTGTTGTCAAACTAATTACAATTTCCTCGGGTTTGCTGTCGTTATTACTACGATTCTCCCCTAACATCCCTAAGCTTGCCGTTAACTCCCTGTACCCTCAAGTGTCTCCGACAGCCTGTCCATGATTTGTAATTTTCTGTTGCTGTATACCAGTGGCCAATTATGTTTGGAACTTCTAACGGTCTGGTAGGTCTTCCTCCCAAGGTCAAGCCCCGTTGATCTGTTCCGTTACTTTTGCTGACTTTACATTCAGTGTTGGGCAATTTCAATGAACATAGGTATCAGACATATTTCTTGAGGAGACAAGCGGCGGCATAGGGAGATTTAAATAAAAGTGGAGGAAATCAGCATTTTGATCTGATTAAGTAGCTCACATAATTACTCGTAGTGGCGATTTACATCCCTCGGACAACTGAACTGTGGGGAATAAATTGAATTTTCTCGAAAATACGCAGTAACTTTGCAAGCTAGACAGAAACTTGCGGCAGCTAAATAATCAGTCCTTTAGACAAATATAATGGCCTAGACGAGGCGACACAAATCTTTTAATACACATCTTCCAGCCTAACTTTCTAAACCAAAGAAAAGATACGAATATTATTTATGTAGTGTTTCTGGTGGTAAAACAAAAGAAAAGAAGGATATCCAGAGGGGGATATATTTGCCGTAGAATAGTAATACATCTAAGGTATTAGGCAGTGTCCTTAATGTCCTTATTGGAACGAGAAATGTTCCTGATAAAATAACATGTTGCTGAAATGTCGCCGGCAACATATACGTTTATGGTAATATAAGTAGTAACGTGGGACTGTAACCCGAGCATCCGTAGCTTTGAGGGTTGCGGGCCGCGCGCCAGATGGTACTTTCAATCTGCAGTTGAGATTATAAATGCAAATATGTACAGTCAGCACAAAATATAGTCATTTGTGCAAGTTGCGAAGACAATTTGCTTCAAACTCCTTGCGATGCGTTGGGAATGGGTTCCACGATCGAACTGCCTGCGGACTGAAAGAAAACCTCCGCTGGTCTAGGCATGTCCGTTCGCGTTCGACCTTATGCGGGTGACCGACAGGTGACTCACGTTTGTAAATTTAAAGGAATCTTCAGATTTGAGCGAACAGTTATGACTGCGGATAATGCGGAGTGTCCACGTCAGGTTACACCTCATTTTTATATAGGATAGGCGAAACCAAGTAATCTGAACCAGTCTTTTTGTATAGGACAGAGTCTTGAGACCGTCCACCAATTTGTCGTCCGTCGTTAGACTTGCTCGATGGCATCAGTGGCGTTCTTCATCCGGGGCCTCCATTCTGGCATTCTGTACTCCAAATTCGGTCTGAAAAACCAAATATCTGCGTAAAGAGTTCAGGGGAAAGACTATGAAAGTATACCTAAGCCAGTGCATGATTCTCGTTGCATTTTGGTCGGCTCTTTTTCAATGTTCGGAAGGCAGCAAGTTTGACCTTGTCCAGATACCTAGGTATTTTTGAATATCCACTTTTCAGTGGAATCTAATTTGTGGTGTATTGGTGTTTTGGAAACGTATCCGACCATATTATAAGCGTAAGACCACACATTTGGATGCATTAAACTCTAGAAGCCACTTGCCTAACAAAACAACCAACATATTAACTTCTTCTTGCAGTTCCAGCGCGTCGTCGGCAATGCTGTTTTCCAGGTCTTTATATAATTTGTTAATATGATGACATCGCAGTCAAATCTGCAGTACAGTAGATGAGGAACAGAAGAGGTCCTAAGACCGAACCCTCCTGATCACCGCCTTCTATTGGTACCCATTCGTATGCAGTGGCACCAAAGACTGCTGTTTGCAGAATAATTGACAGGGAACTTTTAATTCACTTAAAGGCGTTGCCCTGTATTTCCCACTTCCAAAGCTTCTGTAGGATTAGTTCATGGGGCATGACGTCAAACGCCTTTCTGAACTCGAAAAAGATAACATCAACTGGAAGACCCTGGTCTATGGCACTAACCACTTTTCCCGAAAATAGAGACTACTTGTAAGACACGAGCGACCAGGACGAAATCCGTGTTGAGCAGCACATATCGGGTTTCTCTGCTCCAGATACGTCACCAAGTGCCTCTTTATAACTTGCTCCATGACCTAGCACAAAATTCAGGCTGAACAAACAGGACGGTAATTTTCGGACTCCACACTGTATCCTCCTTTGTAGATTGGGTAAATAAATAATAATAATTTTTATTCCAGACCCGTGGGGTCCTTTCACGCCAAATAAAAATAACTGTTACATGAAATTAGAATTTTGGAACAGGTGTATAGAATCCATACCATACTTAATTCATAGTTGTTGAACGAGTAGTTTGTTACGAAAAATGATGAGCGAGCAGTGAACATATGAGATATAAACAAAATGAGTATGACTGGATTAACACTGTAGGAGAAAAACAACTGCCGCTCCTAAATATATTAAAAAACAGGCAGTACTGGCCTGTATAAAGCAGTATATAGCGGATTTAATGAAGGGGTAAGTAGGCCGGTCAGTCAAGACTAGCCTGTATGTGGTATTGAGTAAAAGGTTCGAAACGGGCATCGTTAAGGCAGAATTCATATGCCAAAGTGCGAATAGACAACCAGACTAGAGGCGATATGAACCCAGATGTGATTGGTTACAGTCAGCCCAGTCCAGCCGAGTAGGGGCAATGGAGATGCGACCAGACTACTAGTATATGGCGAATACGGAAGGCTCCGCCAAGAGCGCCGGTAGAGCGAATTCGGTGAGGGTCACGATGCATGGACTGAAAAACCAAAAAATAAATGCAGTTTGCCATTCATCCAACAGTCAACCTTCTTCCATTGACTTTTGAAATATCATAGACACCGGTTCGCATAGTAAGTCAGTCGATTCTCGAAGACAAATGGATGAATTCTATCTGATCCAGGTGATTTGGGCGGCTTCAATTGGCGTAGTTCCATCCTTGTAAATGTGGGCGAGAAGCAAAGATTATCTTCTGTTGCAAACGGTATCCGGTTTTATTGTTGCTCTGGGTAGGCAAGAGGAGGAGGATGCGTTTATTGAGTTAATACCGACTGAGGGAGGCAGGAGAAGACTGATGTGGTCATCAGTTTCCATCATCCCATTTTGGGACCTTAATACCGGAATCTGGTCACAATTTCTTTTACCCATACTTATGTAACCCTATAGGATCTTGCGATGCTTCAAAGAGTTCTGTAGTATGAATAGTTAACAGTTTCTTCGAAGTCTATTAACCTCACGTCTACACAGATCCTTCTCTCGTTTGTATCCCTACAGGTGTTCAGAACTCTCGGTTAGTCGAAAACGACTCCACTCCACATTTCATCTCTTAAAGGCCATTTGTAGTTCCCGGTTTGTCCACGACGAACGGTCGCTTGTCCTCTTTCGCTTGAGTGGACAGTTTAGATCAATGATCCTTTTAACCAACGAGGTAAACGTGCTCCACTAGTCGTTAACTGTTCTCTGTAATACGATTGTCTAGGGTATTAACTAAATGAACAACTTATTTTATTTCATAACTCTAAGGGCACTGTCGTACCAGTGAAAAATAAATTTCGACTGAATACTAGGACGAATAGGCAGGCTCTCTACAGTGTTCAGTTCGTGCTTATAAAATAGGCTGTCTGATATGGAAGACCGCTAGCGAGAAGTGAGACGAAACTCCTCCTCTTTTCGAAAAAGACAAAATGAATGCGAGTTAATTAGTTTTCAAGGAGGAAAACCCTTGCTCATGAGAAAGCAAATATGCAGGTTAGGAAGGACCGTCCCGCAGGCACAAGCATTTTGACGATTCAAACAATCTCCATTAAGGTTAAATTCCTAAACGGGGTGGGGCTCTTCGCTGCAGATGCTACCCCAACATTTTGGGGTTGACAGGAGACGCGACCGTCAAGGTGGCTTAACAGGAGGAATCCAACGCGATCGGTCACAGTTCGCTTAGAGCCCAAATGAAGAGGGGACACTAAAAGCTGCGAGGGGCATAAAAACGCGCGAAGATGCGATCATAATACTTCTTTGCAGACCGATCAAACTACAAGAAGATGGCAAAAACAGATGGATTGGGAGTGATCGTCAGCAGACCGAAGGAGGTCAAATGGGAAGATGACTCGGAAATTTACAAAAACCGTCGATCGCAAAGAGATATAGAGGAGCAGAGCAAATTCACCATGCGGGCACGGTGAGAGCATGGGGACGCTAGGTGGTTGTAGACCCGTGCTCGGACTTACATTGGGGATGAGAGCTGGGAGTCCCAGACGGACTCTTGACGAGGGTCGACGATTAACAAAACGGGGCAGCTCAGAGTGCGCACGCCAACATGGCCTCATTACTACTTTGAGAGGCTGGTTAGGGAGAACATCGCGCATTGTGAAGGACAATATGCATGAACTGCAAAATCTAAAAATTGTTGAGACTGGCGTTCGGATGTCGGAAAATTCTCACATCCAGGTATTTGTTTCCAACTTACTCTGATTTGTAGAATACGGAGTACTCAAGAGGTATTATAATATGATCCCTAGCACCTATTGGTGGGAGATCTCGTACCTCCACCACAGTCTCCTCATCTCGAGTAAGCAAGAGATCAAAACAATTTGAACGTTTCCTCTTTCCAACACGTGTTCGCAGAGTTACATTCGGGAAAGTTAGTTAGTTTGCTGCCACCTCGAGCAACTGGTATTAAATTGTGTCCAATGGACCCAAAACCGTCGAAGATCGCATGTCGGTATTGGCAGAGTCAAAGTCCCCATCAATATGGACATCACAGTTCAAGCAGGTCTCGTTCAGATCCGTTAGAAGGAGGCTATTCTATTCAGTAATCTGGTATGGGCACGGTATACAGATGCAAAGACCAGTGTCCGTAAGTATTTAATAGAAATATTTCAAAATAATAATTCCACTTCTGCTGTTGTCATTGTATGTTGCACAGAGACCGCGGTCAAATTGTAGCTAATATAGACAGCGACCAATTCTCCTCGACCTTACTACCACTTAACGTAAGAGCATAATTTCACTTTATACACAGCTATATTTAGGGCGAAGGTGGATGGATTTAATTTGATAGTTTTCGTAATAGAAAGCGATGAACGAGATACATATTCATCATAAACGACTAATGATTTTTTCGCTGTTTACTCTTGCTCTTTCTTCAATTCCTTCCAACATACGACCACCGCGATCCCCTGAATACTTGTTTACGGCCAGCATTGCCGTAAAAAGCGTGACAACTTTTCCAACTTGATCGGAAGGTGTTTAAGTTTCCTGAGATTCTGAGCGCATTTATGAACTGGTGGTTCTGTACCTGCCGATGGGGTTCCCGCGAGTTGACAAAGTAATCTTATTTACGAAGTCCACCTTCTAGTTCTCCTTCACACTTCCAGAAGCTCAGCTCCAATTGAAATTGATTAAGATGGAATTCTCTAACTTGATTTTTATCATTGTTTCTACAAACGACAAACTCGGTGACCTGGTAGGGCCTTTCCTTATCTGTTTTATCAAATTTTAAGGTTCTGTTTGAAAAACAGCCTCCTGTTGGAAGCATTGGGATCAATCTTCGTGAAACCTACGACAGTTACACCCTCCTCGGCAGTGATAGGGTTCGTTACCACCTAGGCCTTTTTGCGTTTTTCGATTGAATCTTTGATGTCGTGCTAGCCTTTTCTCCGCTCAGTTATTGTCGGCATCCCGTTTCCCTCTTGTGTGTATTTAGCAGTTTTCGTGTAGAGATTCTCATTGACAGGCCAGTTCACTTAAGCTTCTGCCGTTCTTTTAAAGACAGTTGAGTCTCACCCGACTTTGTTTTCCTGGTCCTTTAAGTCAACCTATTCCTACTGATTTTGCTGAAGATGTTTAACTACCTCGGCAACAGATGCTGCTCAGTCATGCAAACTTTTCAGTCGATTCGAAATCCCTAACACTCATGAGTGCAATTCTACCTCACTCTAAGATCTTAGAGTGTGCATGATTTGCTGTTAATTTTTGTAGTCCCACAAATTCCCACAATTTCACCTTATTCTTTCCTTTAGGACGAATCCCACTTACTTGCGAAAAAGATAGCAATGGACTTGAAGACAGACAAACCCGTCATTGTCAGCTCAACTTTACGTTCGCCGATTTCGTTTTCTGATGCATCTTTTTTGTGTGCTCAATTGCAAAATCATTAGTTGCAAAATTTCATTGTTCACTTTTTTACTTCTGCATTTAGGCGTTCTAACTCTTGTTATACCTCTTATCAGTAACATCATCAAGGTAAAGCACCTCAAATATTGTATTGTCTCGAGGCGTTTTTTAAATGGCACCTGGATTAAAATATCTCATCGAATCCAATTCGACTATCGAAACTCGCACCCTTCTGCGGACCCGAAATCATCTGGTGTCTTAGAGTTGCATACGTGCTTTCGAATTAAGATTTTCAAGTTTTATACCATAATTCTTATAGTCGTCTCTGGGGAGTTAAATTTTGACGCTCAGGTTGTAGTGAGTGCTTGCTGTGTTTGGGCGTCTATTTATTGTCTAAGAATTTCTTGAAGTCCAGTTACGGCCTCCGCGAAATTCTCCTCCCTGTTGGTTCCATCGGTATCAAAATTGTTGCCGAGGATTTTAATGCGCTCACTGGTAAAACTCTCGTATTCAGCTTGCTTTTGTCGAGAGGGCCGATCATCGGTACTCGATATGATATTGATACTTCAATTTTTTGTTTTTCTGGGTTTGGTAAGATAGTCGTGGCTCACAATGGATTTTTGCATTCTAAAGGGCCTATTGACCTGATGTTCAGGTGACGAAAGAACCTTCACAAAGACTGGGCACATTCCCGAAGGGAGGTGTGCTACATGCTTGTACTTGCAGTTGCTAGCACTTATGATGCATACTTAATATCAGAGCTCCTAGTATCCTGAATCAGTGTCCTGTGTATGCTGTTACCGAAAACGTTACCACTCGTTGTCCATTTCGAGTTTCAACGCAGAACGCCGGATAACGTTGTACCCATGATACCCATGAACCTAGACAATGATTCCGATAAGTCACGTAACGGATGAGTTCATGTTTGAGTCGACGGAATGCGTGACCGAGCCGTCTGGAACGATAGCCGCTTCCTGCATCAGCAACAGCAACTGTCCCCGACCATCGTGATGTCTCACATCTGAGACGTGCTCGACAAGCCTAAGCTGAAGTATCTTTTTGGAGGCGCGAGTTGCTAAACGCCGCTCTCCTTTGGGTCACATCATATGGAGGCCAAATTCTGCAACCACGGAGGATGACTTTTGCCGTGTCTGCCTGTATTTGGACGCCTGTCTTTTGTTAAACCCCGCTTCGAGGCCATAGACGTTTCGTGAATCAAAAGTCCAGGCCCCGCGCGAACTGCATCTGACGGTTTGTCTTCTGCCATTAGCCCGCTGGTAATGTATGCCAAATTTTCTCCATGAATTTTTATTTGTCGCTCTCAGTTATCCTTCATCACACTCGATACGCCCAGATATGTCGGAAGGAGATGCGAATACAAGTCGTCAAGCCCGCTTCATTGTAAGGCTCAGAACTTGGCAAGAACTGTCAGAGGCTGAGCGCAAATTTTGCGAGGTCCGTCTCATTGTAGGATATACGCGGTAATAGCTTTCTGGGTATCTGTCCGAGCACTTAACAAAAGTTATCTGATTTTAGGACCAAACGTATGCAGAGTAGTCCTGAGTGCGCAATCATACGATCGCTGTTTTGAAATCGAGTGGTAGGCTGTGATTGAATCTGGGTTGAAGTCTGCAGAAATGCTGGGGATGACCGTACTTTAGCTGTTTACCTTGTCCTACTGTCACCATAGACGCAAATCTCCATGCTTTGAGGGATCCTATTGTGTGCCAGACCAAAAAATGTCGGGACTCATCATGCGCATGCCTACGACGGGCTGTTCTGCATCAAAGCAGAGACTAGACTGGCTCACGGCACGCGTTTGTCGGACAACGTTCAATCCGCGCAATCACATTACCGCCGTACGGCTGTGTGGCACGCTCTACACGTAGACGTTCACGCAGCGTCAGTCACTAAGCTCAATTCTATCACCCGTTGATTGACGGTCACGGACAGTCGAGTGTTGCTCTGGAGAGCGAGTGAGGTCGACGCTGTAGAATCTATCTCCACCCCACATCATCGCTCTCCACACTGCACAAAATCGGGCGCTTTGCGAATCGTGGCCTTAAGGGCTGCCTACTGGCGCAACAACTTAGTCATTCAGAGAACTGGGAGTCAGGCTGAGATTGTCTCATCCTAATACAGCCTTTACAGGACGTCGACAGCTTGACCGTCCACTATAGGCTCCATAGCAGGGTGGAAACGGGGACGGTGACTTGTGCGTGAATTAGTTTATAGCGATAGTGTACTTGCACAGCACCTATCGCACTCTCCTCCACCTGGCCCGGTTTCAAGACAGTCAAGAAGGCCGGAGGCGGGGGAGGGCGCAGGTGGATGGCACGGTCGAACTCGCACTTTGGCGCTCCACTCCACACCCCCTGGCCCACACAACAAATGACCAGGTTCTTGACCAACAACAACAATGGGGGGGGGGAGGAAGCGGAAGGGGTCCCAATGTGCGCGATGTCTGCCGGCAACCGCGTCTGCCACCGCACCGCGAAATGTGGGCATTTGTTATACTGCGCAAGTCCGATAACGCCTGCTAGAATCCGATATGGCCTCCGTATTGGTCCATCGCATCTACCACGTAGCCCGTTTTGGGAGCACAACCTTTACAGGACACACACGCGCAATTATTATCCTATCCGTCCCTCTTTCTCTTGTGTGGAATCCTAGTAAGTTTTACGTGGTGGACCAGGGAGTGTGTTGGCACGCCAAGGTGCCGGTTTCCGTCTTGCCAGTCACCTGCTCCCTCTCCCGCCTCCGGTCTTCTTGACTCTGTCATGACACTGGGCCCAGGTGGGGGATGGAGAAGAGTATGGTAGATGTTTCGCGAGTCTACTATCATGGAAAAGTCACCGTCTCTGTTCCCACCCTGCTGTGGTTAACTTCGGAGACGACAGCCGAACTGTTGGTGCAGGCAGACCGAAGGCGACACGGGCAAGCGACGGAGCAGACGACTATGAAGACGGTCAGCTACAGACATGTTCTCCGAACTGTCACGTGCATTGGAATAATCGTGCCATAATACTGCTCTAATTCTTCGTTTCGACGCTCGAACGGACTTACAAAACTTTTACCAACCATCTCTTGGTCACCCGTAGCCATCAAGAATACCTCTGATGTGGCGCATTGTCCGGCGTACGTGCCTTCCAGTCAAGATCGCATTCGTTCCTATCAACTGACATCTTTAAAACACGTAAACTTGGGCCTGAACAGTCATAGACGTCCTTGATTAGTGTGATGTGACATACGCGCAACTTTCATTTACGAACTAACAAAGACACCTGACAATACAGACTCTCCTTCTCAGACATGAATTTGACGTTTTGATAATTGCAAAAAACAAGGTTCATCGTTGTCCACGAAGTGAATGCAGCAGTGCATTGCGCATGACTTTTTTCTACTGAGTCAGTTCGTCATCCTCATCCATCTCCTCTCGTCTTCGACAGGAAGAGATAGTCAAGACGACAAGAGGTAGGCGCGGGCGCAGTGACTGCAAAGATAGGCAGTGCCAAACATGACTTGACCCCTGCTACGCATGTCGCGTGCGGCATTTTGGGAGAGACTGGAATTATATACGGGCACGAACGATGGAGATTGGCTTAGGGCTCCATGAACTGGTCCCACAACCACGCTGTGGTGAGTTTGCAAGTGATTATTTAGGCCAGGTTTGATTGGAACGCGCGGTCGTCATGCAAGTACACAGGTTCGTATCGTGTCCAGGTGATAGTCGGCGTACTTTGAGCCCTGGTGGCCTTCGCCTTCTACTGTACACGATGATGCCGAGACGGGATAAACCCGGAGTGAAACGCTGTACTACAATGAGGCCAAGTGGGAGAAATATTCTCGTTGTTGATGATGCTCGTGGTGGAGGTAGTTGGCTGTACAAAAGTACGGTTGGTCAGGTTGGCAGCACGGCAAGTTCAGCAAGACAAACTCGAGTCGTAAATGCATGCTAACACTGGGTTGAGATGTACTGACGGCGGTTAGGCGTTAGCGGTATTGGTCCGTATTAATGCGGATCTTCTTGCCTGTTCTTTCTCCGTGAACCCCTATATTCAACTGGCAGTGATCATTTACTGGCCCGTTATTTGGCTACTTTTATCTTCGAAGATAGGATTCTGCACGAGATGGAAATAAATACTTCCTTAAAAACACATCTGGAATCTGAGGAAGTCAAATTCGGCCGTTGAACGTTTCTGATTATTTATCATCAGGCCTGTGCAGTATCATAAGTTATGATAATGCAGCAAAAGCTGAAAACAGCCAATGAACAGTAGTCGTGTGGGATAGAGGGTTGAGGACGTTCAGGTATTAGGGGTAACTATTGCCTAGTTCTTTCAGGGGCATGGGGGGGAAAGGGACAAGGGGAAGTCTAGCACCTAGTTATGCTTATGTTTCGTCGCTATGGTGCGACATCACAGGATGCGGGAACGAACACTCAGTAGAATGCTTAGGCCAGAATGGCTAGAGGTTTTGTATGAACGCCTTCTGTGAGCCCTAATCTTGGCTGGCTAACCCTATTGCCTCTGTTGTCGCAAGTGGGCGCTGGCGCGGTAACTAGGACGATCTCGCCGGCGCTTTTAGATATCTCAAAATGCTTGGTTACCGTTTACCCGGCGGCCGTCGTGAGTCAAATACCCCTGACAGAACTCGACTATTACTACCCCGGTTGTCTATCACGTCTGAATTCCCTCGTGATTATTGTTTATTGAATGTTTTCAACTTTCATTGCTTTAGAGTAACTTAGGCTACAGGCTTGAGGATGAACAATAGGAAACATACGTTAGCCTAATTTTACTTCTTCAGTCTTTAACTTGGTAGCGTCGCAAAACACCTGGAGTTCGGACATTCACCTCCATTCGTGGGAATTGCTCTGCTTTTGATGGTTGTTCGTCATGTTTATTGGGCCTATGGAAGAGTTTTTCGGGTGTCTTAGCCAAACTGAAGGCATTTTGTGCGTCCCTTTAGCGCTGTCCTTGTAAAACTAGCCCATGATTAGGTTAAACAATATACCATACCTGCAACTGTAGGTGTTAGGTGA